GACGCGCACATACGCGCGCGTCATGACCTTTATGTGACCTTTGATGACATGACTTGTTGACCCTTGACCTGAAGTATATGTGATATGAATATGAATGACCTTTGTTGATGCATCATGAAGATATGATGGATAACGTGATTTCACAAAATGGCGCCTGGATGACGTCACGATGACCTGATGACCTTGAAAAGGTTACTGTCACGTCTCATGACAATGACCTATGACTGTGTCAAAATTGAAAGAAATTAACACAACCGATCTTGAGTTAACCGATGAACAAAAAACGGGGAGAAATAAAAATAAATAATAATAATAAATAAAGAAAGAAAATTCTGACGAAAACAATAGGTGATCTGTTTTCAACAGACCACCTAATAATAATAAAGAAAGAAAATTCTGACGAAAACAATAGGTGGTCTGTTGATAACAGACCACCTAACTAGAAATTTAATTCGTCACGAAGACGAATAAGGTGGTCTGTGTAAGTCTCATGATAGATTTGAGAATGGGAGAAATTATATATGACATGTAAACAATGATGATCATGATGAACATGATGATGATCATGATAGTAAAGGTGATGATGATGATAATGATAATGGTATATGATGATAAAAACGATAATGTTAATGATGATGATAATGATCATGATCATGATGGTGTTGATGATGATCATCTTTAGACCATGATGATGATGATGGTGGTGACATTGATGATGATGATCATCATGATCATATTGATGATGATGATGACGATGATGAGTATGAGCATGATCCTGACATCTGATTGAAAAAATGAGGAAATATTTAGATAGCAAATAGTCTCAGCTACAACATACTAAAATTTGGGAGAAAACTGTTGAATAAGAACCGAGATACTGGTCAAAACACATTGTCATGCAGATTCATGTTTTGAAAAAAGTGACCTCCCATAGACATAACACGCAAATATGACAAATTGTGCATTGTCGCCTTTAATCGAATATTTAACTATGATGACGTCATCTAAATGAAAAATAAATGGCATATTTCTGATAGAGAAATATCTCAGCTACAACATATCAAAATCTGGGAGAAGATCGTTTACCGATAAGTGAGATAATCTCAAATAAACAATGACAAAAATGACGTCATCAACAAAATACATTTGTTTGAGTTTAGATGCCAATATGATGACTTTGTTTCACTTTGTACGAGTTAGGGTGGTATGAAATCATATCTCCAACTCATGCTTTTTCCAACCATGATATAAAAATTGGGGGTCGATGGACTATCTGAAGAGCTATTTCGATTTTTAAAATGGCATGTTTTTGATGAAATTTGCATTATATTGCCTATAGCAGCACGCGCGGATTTTGAACTTTGACGCACGCTCACGGCCTTATGAAATATGAAGAGTGACTAAAATCAATGTAACTTGTCAATTACGTTAAGAGGAATCCAAATCATGTAAACATTTTGAATTTGACTTTTTCCGCGCGTCATGAGCGCGCGCAACGCGCGCAGGGACATGTACGGACGGAAAATTTTGAAATGCTTAAAATGACCTGATTCGTACTCTCGTTTAATAGTTAAGTGATTTTGAGCATTTTAAAATTTTGACGCGCGCGTACGTGCGCGTCATGACCTTTATGTGACCTTTGATGACATGACTTGTTGACCCTTGACTTGAAGTATATGTGATATGAATATGAATGACCTTTGCTTATGCATCATGAAAATATGATGGATAACGTGATTTCACAAAATGGCGCCTGGATGACGTCACGATGACTTGATGACCTTGAAAAGGTTACTGTCACGTCTCATGACAATGACCTATGACTGTGTCAAAATTGAAAGAAATTAACACAACCGATCTTGAGTTAACCGATGAACAAAAAACGGGGAGAAATAAAAATAAATAATAACTAGATTTGTAATACTTGTTTGAAACAAGTATAGGTGGGCTGGTCCAACTAAAATTTAAGACAAAATAAAGGGCACATTTGAGATAGCGTATTGTCTCAGCTACAACATACTCGAAGTTCAGCGTAAACAAAGCTAAAACGACAGAGATATTGCTCGCGAAAGACGGAAATGTAGAATCCAGTTTTGAGAAAAACTCATGTCCCTTAGAGAATACACGCAAAAAGTGAAAAATTGACATGCCTCCTTTAATCGCACAAATACGTCCTGGTGCCTTTGTCAAAATGAAAATTTATGGCAGCCATATTTGTAGAACATTGTCTCAGGTAGAACATATCAAAATTTGGAAGAAAATTGATCAATATTTTTAGAGATACAGTCAATTTAAAAAAAATATGCTGACATCATAATATGCAAATTGAAATTTTGAGTTCGGAGGTCATTATGATGACGTCATGAGTTAATTGAGGGTCAAATGAAACATGATATCATATCTCCAATTTATTTTCTATCAAAATATGAAAACAAAATTGGGGTCACCTTGCAGCCTAAAGAGCTACAATGGATTTTGTATAGGCGTGTTTTTGCCCATATATGCTATGTATTACAAGAGCTCGCGCGCACTGAAATTTATGTTAAACGGTCGATCATTCCGTTATTAATAGTCATTAAGAGACGAACATGGTATCAATTTGTTTGTAAAAATATGTGGAATATTATGAAAGAAAAAAAATGGCGATTCTATGTTGTGTAAAAGTTTTACGCGCGAAAACGCGCGCGCATGCGCGTGTGAGCAATTTTTTAAAAAATGCTTAGAATGGCCTAAAACGTATGCAAAATGATTTTGAGACGATTTTGAGCATTTTTAAATTTTGCGCGCGCATTTACGCGCGGACGTACGCGCACGCGCGCGTTATTTGACCTGAAATTGACGGGACGGATATTGACCTTGATCATAATAAATATGAATGAGAAATACCTTTTGGTTATGAAGATATGATCATGAGTTGATTTTCGTAAAATTTTACAAAATGGCGCCTAGATGACGTCATCAGTGAAGGTCAATGTTGAAAACGTTATTGTGCTTTGTACATATGCCTATACATATGTGTGCCAAATTTCAAGGCATTTGATCGAGCCATTTCCAAGTTATCTTGCCAACAAAAAAGTGGTTAGAAATAAGAAAAATATATAATAATAAATAAATAAACTAGATTTGTAATACTTGTTTGGAACAAGTATAGGTGGGCTGGTCCAACTAAAACTTAAGACAAAATGAATGGCACATTTGAGATAGCTAATTGTCTCAGCTACAACATACTCGAAGTTCAGCGTAAACGACGCTAAAACGACGGAGATATTGCTCGCAAAAGACGGAAATGTAGAATCCAGTTCTGAGAAAAACTCATGTCCCATAGAGAATACACGCAAAATGTGAAAAATTGACATTCCTCCTTTAATCGAAAAATTACGCCATGATGCTTTTGTCAAAATTAAAAATTGTGAACACTGCATTTGTAGAACATTGTCTTAGCTAAAACATATACAATTTTGGAAGAAAATTGATCAATATTAAGAGAGATACTATCAATTTTCCAAAAATATGATGACAACATAATATGCAAATTGAAATTTTGAGTTCGGAGGCCATTATGATGACGTCATGAGTTAATTGAGGGTAAAAAAAAGACATGAAATCATATCTCCAATTTATACTCTATTTAAATATGAAAACAAATTGGGGTTACCTTACATCCTAAAGAGCTACAATGGATTTTGTATAGGCATGTTTTTGGCACTATATGCTATGTATTAAAGGAGCTCGCGCGCACGGAAATTTTTGTTAAACGGTCGATCATTCCGTTATTAATAGTCATAAAGAGACAAACATGGTATCAATTTGTTTGTAAAAATATGTGGAATATTATGAAAGAAAAAAAATGGCGATTCTATGTTGTGTAACAGTTTTACGCGTGAAAACGCGCGCGCATGCGCGTGTGCGCGATTTTTTATAAAATGCTTAGAATGGCCTAAAACGTATGCAAAATGATTTTGAGACGATTTTGAGCATTTCAAAATTTTGCGCGCGCATTGACGCGCGAAGGTACGCGCATGCGCGCGTTATTTGACCTGCCATTGACCGGACGGATATTGACCTTGATCATGATAAATATGAATGAGAAATACCTTTTGGTTATGAAGATATGATCATGAGTTGATTTTCGTAAAATTTTACAAAATGGCGCCTAGATGACGTCATCAGTGAAGGTCAATGTTAAAAACGTTATTGTGCTTTGTACATATGCCTATACATATGTGTGCTAAATTTCAAGGCATTTGATTGAGCCACTTTCAAGTTATCCTGCCAACAAAAAAGTGGTTAGAAATAAGAAAAATAAATAATAATAAATAAATAAATAAATAAAGGCAATTCTAACGAAATTATAAGGTGGTCTGTACGTTATACAGCCCACCTGATAAAGGCAATTCTAACGAAATTATAAGGTGGTCTGTACGTTATACAGCCCACCTGATAATAATAAAGAAAGAAAATTCTGACGAAAACAATAGGTGATCTGTTTTCAACAGACCACCTAATAAATAAATAAATAAAGAAAGAAAATTCTGACGAAAACAATAGGTGATCTGTTTTCAACAGACCACCTAATAATAATAAAGAAAGAAAATTCTGACGAAAACAATAGGTGATCTGTCGTTGACAGACCACCTAATAATAATAACTAGAAATTTAATTCGTCACGAAGACGAATAAGGTGGTCTGTCTAAGTCTTATGATAGATTTGAGAATGGGAGAAGTTATATAGACATGTAAACAATGATGATCATGATGAACATGGTGATTATCATGATAGTAAAGGTGATGATGATGATAATGATAATGTTATATGATGATAAAAACGATAATGTTAATGATGATGATAATCATGATCATGATGATGTTGATGATTATCATCTTCAGACCATGATGATATTGATGATGATGATGACGATGATGAGTATGAGCATGATCCTGACATCTGATTGAAAAAATGAGGAAATATTTAGATAGCATATAGTCTCAGCTACAACATATTGGGTGGTATTCTCGAAAGCGGCCTAAGTTAAATCAGTGGCCTAAACCTGGTTTAAACCATGGACTATCTTTTTTGCTATTCTCGAAGGTGGCCTAAAGATAAGCCAGGCTTAAATACGTCATAGTTCGGCCTAACTTTAGGCCGCTCAGAGGGCAGGTTTAAATACGTCATAGTTCGGCCTAACTTCGCGTGACGTCACGTTTTAGTTAAATCGAGTGTCCGCGGAGAGTGAACGGTAAGTTTTGCATTTGAATTTCTATATTTGATAACAATTTACACTCTTTTGCATGGATAAGCGCTCATGAAAGTTACACCAGCTAATAAAATATTTTTGTTACTTTCATTTTGCTGTACTGGTGATAATCTAAAATGCTTTTAACTGAATAAATTTGGGAGAAACTTGGTAATTTTTTATGGTGATTGCAGACCAGTCCCATACGTGCAAATAATTGTCGGTTAACATTTTCGTTTCCTGAGATTGAGCAATTTCTTACCGGGTAATTTTTTTCTGGGCACTATTGTACTTTCGTACGCGTATACCACCTTAACACCACCTTAAAATTATCATTGCTAAACGTAGAAACTACTTTTATAGTGGATTTTCGAGACGCTGTTGCCTAAAAGTGGACTAGCACTAGGGCTAGCTAGCCTAGACCCTAGGCCTAAATCTAGATCTGGCTGTCTCTTTCGTTCGTTGGCCTCTGATTTGGGTAGGATCTCTTTCAGGAGCCGACCTTTCCCAAATCAGAGGCTAATGAACGAAAAAGACAGAAATTTCGGTCTGGTAACACCTCTGCCTGAGCTGCAGTGCTAGTTGTGGCTGTTGGTGGGATAATTTTCTACAGGATGATGATGATTTGGCCACCCACCCCCCCCCCCCCCCCTCCCCAAGAAATCTAAATTTCATCAATAAGAGTCTAGTCTTGACAGGTCTTATAGGAATTGAAAGGAAATGAACAGAAGCTTCCTTTTTTGACATATACATCTGCTGATAATGTTACAGTAGACCTAGCTTAGTCTAATAACTCTATTAGTAAACTACAGAGAAAGAGAAATTGTAATTTCTTATCAAATATCAACATATTTTTCATCTTGATTTTCTGCTATTTCAGGTTCTTTCCAATTGATGCATGGGGATGAAAAAAGAAGGCCTCTCCCAAGCTACTGTGTCCCGCCTTGTGAAGTCCATCTCAATAGCCATTGCCAGGAGATCGGAGCAATACATCTCAATTCTTTCAACAAGAGAGGCAGTCCTGCAGAGTGCAGACCCAACATGAATTTTATAATTACTGCCATTTCCCTGGCGTTAATATGGTTGGTGCTATTGATTGCACCCACATAGGCGTCTCCAAGCCAGTTGGCCCAACACCAGTTATTTCCTGAACAGGAAAAATAGATACTCCATTTTTCTTGGAAAGTCTGCTGGTGAGTAATGCTGTAATAACGTCTTACTTTTGTAAACTAAATAATGTTTATACAATTTTTATTAAAAAGATCTGCTGATTTTATGAATCTGCAGATGTGTCTAAAGGTACATTATGTAGTGATTTAAAATTGTTTTGTCTGATGAATGTAGGTGCAATCTACGCTCAAACTTTTATCATTTTACGTCGGCACGAGCTAATATCTTCAGCTTGATTGCCATGGCTACCAGTCACTCCCGACAGTGACAGCTTGGCCTAGACTTTTGGGCGGAACTATCTCTGAAAATAAGACACAAATAATCAACAGTTGATTAACTACTTTCAAATTTGGGTCAGAAGAAAACTCAAACCTACCACTAACAATTCTAGATCATATAAGACTTAGAGACCTACAGACTGCAGTACAGTACAGTGCAGTAAATTTTCATTTTACTTTTTTCCCCTTCACGAAGCTCATTTTGGGAGATAACGTAAACAAAGACAATCTTTGGTCTAATGTTAGATTGAACTAAAATGGAAAAGTTGGGCTCTAACGATTAGGGCCTTGTAAAATCTACATTCCAGGCTGCGTTTACATCTAGGTTAGGCCAACTGTCGGCTGGTTATCTAAGTAAGATGTAGACCTCTAGACTTGATTTTAGGAAAGGGACTAACTTGGCTTTCTTAGGCCATGACATGGCAAGTACAACTTGGTGCAAGCACATTTATGAGATAGTACTGCAAGAATGTGTATGTTTGTTCTTGACTTTAAAAGAGATACCGGTAGTCATTCTGTAAATCAATGATTACTAGTAACTGAGTGGGGAGGGGGTGCCTAGTCACTACCTACATGAAAGTTAGTTGTTTTTTTTAAAGTTAGAATATGATTGACACTATAACTAAGACCAATTATCAATGGAGTAGATCTTTGGTATTTTAATGAGGTCTAAACCTTTTTATTTTTGTTTCAGGATGATGTTCTTCTTCAGTAAAATAAATGAAGGCAAATAACCTGATGATTAAGAAAAATTCAGAGAGAGGAAGGAGAACTACTGAGCTGCTAAATTTCTGAGAGGTAGGCTGTAGGAATAAGTTGTTGTTTGTATGCCCAGGTACATTTGTTCATTCACATTTTTCCATCAATACTTTCATGTAACTGATTATGCACTCCACTTTTACCACAATGTGCATGTAAGTCCACTTTGGTCACAATGTACATGCAAGACCTATTTAATGTTTAATAGAAATAGGTTTCAATGTGCTTCCTTTTATTCTTTTCTCTTTTCATAGAACAGACATACTTGCGGGGACTATGAAGTTCTACTTAGCCTATTCAATGAACCAAACTCCATCTGCTGTAACTGTGACTGCATGGGGATCAAAACCTTTGTATTATAATCCTCATAACATGAAGCTATGGTAACAAACAAGCAACCATTGATAATAAGCCTGATATGTCCTTGTTGTGTGTGTGAACCACAAAGCAACCATTACTCATAAGGATGTTTTTATGTACATCAGATGTTTATTGTTTCACTGGGAAAATTGTGATTTTAAGTCATTTAAGAAATTATGTTTTGTAATGTGTTTTATAATATAGTGCAAGTCATGATATAACAGATTCCCTGCAAAAGAAACACGGCTCAAAAGTAGACTATGCTTTATTTTAAAAAAATGGGAGAAGGTAATGTAACAAATACATAACATTTAATTCTAATAGTTTCAAGTAGCAGATTATGAGGCTATTGGAGCTTAATATTTGATTTCGACCTTCAATTTTATAATCGTATTCATCATGAATTACAATCTTTTCTGTTTTAAGAAAAATAAATAAATTGAACATAATTGTTGATATGTTATATACAATATTCCTTTCATATCTTTTGATTTTAAGTGTGCATATTGTTGGGTTCATTGAATTATACATGGAAAAAGTCTTGAAATAGAACAGTGGGAGAACAGAGAGCGAACGAGAGAGAGAGAGAGAGAGAGATAGAGTAAAAGAGAAAGGGAACCAAATGAGAAAGAACAATTTAATGGTGAAAGAAATAAACAATGATGTGAGATAGTGTGTGTGTGACAGAGAAAGAGAGATGGAGATAGGGAGAAAGAGTTGGGGGGGGGGGTGACAGTGCCCCTTTTTTCAAATGCCCCTTTTTATATAGGAAAGTTCCCTTTTAACTTTGTAAGAAGTGCCCCTTTTTCCATAGGAAAAGTGCCCCTTCCCCTTTTCACCTCTGATAAGTGCCCCTTTAATTTTGACACGCGCCCCTTTCCTTTGACAAGTTTTCATTTTCCTTTGCAATAAGTGCCCCTTTTCACTTTTCAGAAGTGCCCCTTTACCTCTGATTATTGCCCTATTTAAATCTGAGAGGTGCCCCTATTAACAAAATTATTGGTGCCCCTTTTATTTCAACAAATGCACATTTCCTTTATTATAAGTGCCTCTTTTTCATTCTCATAAGTGCCCCTTTTAAAATATGTTCAATGCCCCTTTTCAGGTGCGATATGTGACCCTTTTCATCTCTGATAATTTCCCTTTTAACAATGATACAATTCCACCAAGTGCCCTTTTTGTTGGTGCTGCCCCCGCTTTGGAAGTCGCTCCGCCGTCCCTGGACGTCATATTGCTCAAGTTGTCGAGGTGATGCATCCTCTCCACACTCAGCGCGCATCCATTGTCTTAGCCCATTGTCTTAATGCATTGTGACGTCATATTGCTCAAGTTGTCGAGGTGATGCATCCTCTCCACACTGCGCGCATCCATTGTCTTAGTGCATTGTGACGTCGCAGCTTCGGTACTGAGCATGTGCAGAAACTGTAACCATGGTGAATGATCCATGGACTAAGTTAAGCCAGGTTTAAACCATGGATCAGTTAGGCCACCTTTCGAGAAATGAAAATGACTTAGGTCAGCGGCCTAAGTTAAGCCTGGCCTAACTAAACCATGGTTTAACTTAGGCCAGGTTTAACTTAGGCCGCTTTCGAGAATACCACCCATTAAGATTTGGTTGAAAACTGTTTTGAATAACAACCGAGACACTGGTCAAAACACACTGTCATGCAGATTCATATTTTGAAAAAAAGTGACCTCCCATAGACATAACACGCAAATATGACAAATTATGCATTGCCGCCCTTAATCGAATATTATACTATGATGACGTCATCTAAATGAAAAATAAATGGCATATTTCTGATAGAGAATTATCTCAGCTACAACATATCAAAATCTGGGAGAAGATCGATGACCGATAAGTGAGATAATCTCAAATAAACAAAGACAAAAATGATGTCATCAACAAAATACATTTGTTTGAGTTTAGATGCCAATATGATGACTTTATGTCACTTTGTACGAGTCAGGGTGGTATGAAATCATTTCTTCAACTCATGCTTTTTCCAACCATGATATAAAAATTGGGGGTCAATGGACTATCAGAAGAGCTATTTCGATTTTTAAAATGGCATGTTTTTGATCAAATTTGCATTATATTGCCCATAGCAGTACGCGCGGATTTTGAAGTTTGACGCACGCTCACGGCCTTATGAAATATGAAGAGTGACTGAAATTAATGTAAAGTGTTAATTACGTTAAGAGGAATCCAAATCATGTCAACATTTTGAATTTGACATTTTCCGCGCGCTATGAGCGCGCACAACGCGCGCGGGGACACGTACGGACGGAAAATTTTGAAATGCTTAAAATGACCTGATTCGTACTCTCCTTCAGTAGTTAAGTGATTTTGAGCTTTTTAAAATTTTGACGCACACGTACGCGCGCGTCATGACCTTTATGTGACCTTTGATGACATGACCTGTTGACCTTTGACCTAAAGTATATGCGATATGAATATGAATGACCTTTACTGATGCATCATGAAGATATGATGGATAATGTGATTTCACAAAATGGCGCCTTGATGACGTCACGATGACTTGATGACCCTGAAAATGTTCTAGTCACGTGTCATGACAATGACCTATGACTGTGCTAAAATTGAATCAAATTGACTAAACCAAACTGTGAGTTATCCTGGGCACAAAAAACGGGAAGAAATAAAAAACTAGAAATTTAATTCGTCACGAAGACGAATAAGGTGGTCTGTCTTGAAGTCTTATAATAGATTATAATATTTACTATAATGAAAAAGGGAGAAGTTATATAGACATGTAAACAATGATGATTATGATGATGATGATCTTGATAGTAATGATTATGATGATGATGATCATGATGATGTTGATGATCATGATGATGATGATGATGATGAAGATCATGATCATAAGCGTGATTCTGACATCTTATCGGAAAAAATGAGGAAAGATTTAGATAGCAAATAGTCTCAGCTACAACATACTAAAATTTGGGAGAAAACTGTTTAATAGTTAAGTGATTTTGAGCAATTTTAAATTTTGACGCACACATACGCGCGCGTCATGACCTTTATGTGACCTTTGATGACATGACCTGTTGACCCTTGACCTGAAGTATATGTGATATGAATATGAATGACCTTTGCTGATGCATCATGAAGATATGATGGATAATGTGATTTCACAAAATGGCGCCTGGATGACGTCACGATAATTTGATGACCTTGAAAATGTTCTAGTCACGTGTCATGACAATGACCTATGACTGTGCTAAAATTGAATCAAATTGACTAAACCAAACTGTGAGTTATCCTGGGCACAAAAAACGGGGAGAAATAAAAATAAAGAATAATAATAATAATAACTAGAAATTTAATTCGTCACGAAGACGAATAAGGTGGTCTGTTTATGTCTCATGATAGATTTGAGAATGGGAGAAGTTATATAGACATGTAAACAATGATGTTCATCATAATGAACATGATGATGATCATGATAGTAAAGGTGATGATGATCATGATAATGATAATGTTATATGATGATAAAAACGATAATGTTAATGATGATAATGATTATGATCATGATGATGTTGATGATCATCATCTTCAGACCATCATGATGATGATGGTGACATTGATGATGATGATGATGATGATGTTGATGATATTGATGATGATGATGACGATGATGAGTATGAGCATGATCCTGACATCTGATTGAAAAAAATGAGGAAAAATTTAAATAGCAAATAGTCTCAGCTACAACATACTAAAATTTGGGAGAAAACTGTTGAATAACAACCGAGATACTGGTCAAAACACATTGTCATGCAGATTCATGTTTTGAAAAAAGTGACCTCCCATAGACATAACACGCAAATATGACAAATTATGCATTGTCGCATTTAATCTAATATTTAACTATGATGACGTCATCTAAATGAAAAATAAATTTCAGATTTCTGATAGAGAATTATCTCAGCTACAACATATCAAAATCTGGGAGAAGATCGATCACCGATAAGTGAGGTAATCTGAAATAAACAATGACAAAAATGACGTCATCAACAAAATACATTTGTTTGAGTTTAGATGCCAATATGATGACTTTATTTCACTTTGTACGAGTCAGGGTGTTATGAAATCATATCTCCAACTCATGCTTTCTCTAACCATGATATAAAAATTGGGGGTCAATGGACTATCTGAAGAGCTATTTCGATTTTTAAAATGGCATGTTTTTGATCAAATTTGCATTATATCGCCCATAGCAGTACGCGCGGATTTTGAACTTTGACGCACGCTCACGGCCTTATGAAATATGAAGAGTGACTGAAATTAATGTAAATTGTCAATTACGTTAAGAGGAATCCAAATTATGTAAATATTTTGAATTTGACTTTTTCCGCGCGTCATGAGCGCGCGCAACGCGCGCGGGGACATGTACGGACGGAAAATTTTGAAATGCTTAAAATGACCTGATTCGTACTCTACTTTAGTAGTTAAGTGATTTTGAGCTTTTTAAAATTTTGACGCACACGTACGCGCGCGTCATGACCTTTATGTGACCTTTGATGACATGACCTGTTGACCCTTGACCTAAAGTATATATGATATGAATATGAATGACCTTTGCTGATGCATCATG